CAGTACCAGAAGGCCAAGACCCAGCTACATCACCAGTAGGCCAGCACCAGCCCCTCCCACAAGGAAGCCTGCACAAGCCTCGAGACCAGCCTAATCCATGATGAGGCAGACAGCAGATGTAAGAAAATCACAATTCTTCAGCCTGAGGACCTAGTCCACCACATCCACCCTACCCTGGGACCAGTGGGGACCCAGCTCTGCAACTAATAGGCCAACACAAGCTTCAGGACCCCATGGACCACACATGCAACTGTGTCAAGAACCAGACTCCTGTCCACCAATGATCTGACACCAGCTCTGGGATCCCTGGACCCTGAAGCCAGACTCTAGGACTGATCTCACTACCTGCCAGTAGTCTGGCACTAACTCCAGGATTCGGATTCATTCACTAGTAGGGGGTATGACAGTCCCAGAGTCTTCTGGACTCTGACTCCAACCACTAGTAAGCTAACATTAGCCTCAGGGCACCCTGGGGTTCTGCAATCAGCTGCCTCCTGATCAGGCCCCACTAGCAAGGCAGGGTCTGATAATCATCTGGGCCAGGAGCCAACAAAACCCACCAGACTGCCTACATAGTCAATCTGCCACAACAGAAGGACACAGGTAGCCCTCTTAGAGGGAATCTCAAGAGCATATAGCTTAGATGACAAGAGAGGAGTGTGCTGCTGGGTGTTTTGATTTTTTTTTTTATACAACTATAATGAATAATTCTAAAATTTGTATTGAAATACAAAAAAGACCCTGAATAGCCAAAGGAATCTTGAATAAGAATAACAGAACTAGAGGTGTCACACCTCCTGACTTAAGACGAGGCCACGAAGCTATAGCCATCAAATTAGGATGGTACTGGCACAAAAACAGACATGTATCAATAGAGCAGAACAAAGAGCCCAGAAATAAACCCATGCACCTTATGGTCACTAATCTATGACAAAAGAGATGAGCGTATGTCACGAAGAAAAAATAGTCTCTTCAATAAGTGATGGGAAAACTGGATGGCTACAAGTAAAGGAACAGAATTAGAACTTTTTCTCACACCATACATAAAAATAAACTCAAAATGGATCAAAGACTAAATGTAAGATCTGAAACTATAAAAGTCCTAGAAGGAAACATAGGCAGAATACTTTTTGACATAAATCATAGCAATATATTTCCAATTCTCTCTTAAAGAGCAATGGAAACAAAATAAAAAATAAACAAATGGGACCTAATTAAACCTAAAGCTTTTGCACAGCGATGGAAGCCATCAGCAGAACTGAAGACAACCTACTACATGGGCAAAAGCATTTGCAAATGATATGATACATAAGGGGTTAATATTCAAAATACATAAACAGCTCATACAACTCAAAAAAATACAATTTGATCAAAAAATGGGCATAAGTGAATAGACATTTTTCTGAAGGAAAACACACAGATGGGCAAGTGGCATAAGAAAAGATGAACCTCACTAATCATGGATATGCTAACAGAAATCACGGTGAGATACCACCTCACACCTGTCAAAATGGCTATCATAAAAATGATCAGAAATAATAAATGTTCACAAGGATGTGGAGAAAAAACAACCTTTGTACACTGTTGTAGGAAGGGGAATGTAAATTGGTGTGCCGCTACGGAAAACAGGATGGAATCTCCCCCCAAAATGGAAAAATAGATCTATCATATGATGTAGCCATTCCACTCCAGGGTATTTTACCAATGTAGCCAGAGAAAACTACAATTTGAAAGGATACATGCTCTTGAATGTTCATTGCAGCACCATTCACAATGGGCAAGATATGAAAGCAACCTAAATATCCACAGAGAGATGAATGTATAAAGATGATGTGGTGCGTATACACAATGGAATACTACTGAGCCATAAAAAAAGGATGAATTGTGCCATTTGCAACAACATGGGCAGACCTGGAGGGTGTTGTGCATAGTGAAATATGTCAGAGAGAGAAAGACAAACATTGTACGTTATTAAAATAAACAAATGAATATGGTAAAACAGAAACAATCTCTTAGATATAGAGAACAAATTAGTGATTAATAGTGGGGAGAGGAAAAGAGGAGGGGAAAAATAAGGGTTGGGAATTAAGAGACACAAACTATTATGTATAAAATAAGCCATAAGGATATAGTGTATAGCACAGGGAATGTAGCTAACATTTTATAATAACATTAAATGGAATATAATCCATAAAAATTTGGAATTGCTGGGTTATATACCAGAAACTAATCTAGTATTATAAATCAACTACACCTCAATAAAAAAGAAATACTTGAAAAACTTTCTCAGTACTACTTTGAAAACCCTTTTGACAGAATCTGGCAAGACTGAAGATATGCAATGCCCCATGACCTAGAATTCTGCTCATTGAAATGTGCCCTTGAGACACTCTTGCACATGTGCAACAGGAAAGAAACACAAAAATATTCATAGAAACTTAGTTCACAACGACAGGAAGAACACAAAATATTCATGTATGGACTGTAACCACCAGGTTCCTCTATCCAAGGGGATTATCCCAGCAAGAACACTGGAGTGGGCTGCCATGCCCTTCTCCAGGGGATCTTCCCAACCCAGGGATTGAACTCGGGTCTCTCGTATTGCAGGCAGATGCTTTACCAGCTGAGCCACTAGGGGAGTCCAAGAATACTGGACAAATTATGTAAATCAATAACAAAATTCAGCAGCATGTCATTTGGATATACACAAATACATGGTAAAATTATAAATAAAAGCAAAGGAATTATAAACACAAAATTTAGAATAGGGATTAGGAGGCAAAGAAATGAAATTAGAGTGGAAGACGCATGTTCAAGAGAATTAGAAATGTTACATGTCTCAAATGGGTGGTGAGCACACTTGTGTTCTTTTAAGAATACGTCCTAAATATTATGTACATTAATTAAAATATTATGTATGTGTCAAATAATATGTAAATTATACTTATTAGATGCAAAATAGTTAAAACAAAAGGAACCTTTGCATGGAAAATATAAAAGGAAGAAAGAAAGGAAAAGGGGAAAGAGGAAGAGAAATTTTTCCTAAATTCTTCCTCCAAAATATTCTTTGTAGGGTGGAAATGGATCAGCAAAACAACCCAAAAGTCATTTCTATACTGTACTGGGTGTGGCACTTAGAGTAGGTTTTCTGAGTCAATGTACAATCTCATATTTTCAAGAAATATTCTTTTTTTTTTTTTTTTTGCAAAAAGTAAGAAAAGATCTTTGTTTTGAGGTTAGCACAGAACATAGCACAATTTAAAAGTTCTTAAAAGCAGCTCTAAAAACTGTATGCAGTATTCACTATAGCAGTCCGTACAATTGATTCTCTTAGAGACACCACCACTTGGCTTTGGAGATGAGAAAACATCCTTATCAGGAACCCTTGTTTTGCTGGACTGACCCTCACAATTACTATGAATCACTCCCATTTCTCTCAATTCTATTTTTATAGAATGGGAAGATACACTGGGATGACCATCCACGGGGACCATATGGATGATGTGTCTTCTCTAAGGAAGTTCAAACCAGGGGGCCTGGCCCCAGCAGTTTGCCCCTTTTTAAAAGGTGAGTATTGAAGGCTGCAGTTATAACTAGACATGGAACAAAGGACGGGTTCAAAACTGGAAAAGGAGTACGTCAAGGTTGTATACTGTCACCCTGCTTATTTAACTTACATGCAGAGTACATCATGNGGACGACAGAGGACAAGATGGTTGGATGGCATCACCGACTCAATGGACATGAATTTGAGCAACCTCCAGGAGATGATGAAGGACAGGGAAGCCTGGCATGCTGTAGTCCATGGGGTCTCAGAGTTGGACAGGACTGACTGAACAACAACAATTTAAGGCTGCATTATTCTTCAGTTTGGCTCACTGTACCCAATTTGGAGGCATGTTAATAACATCCTCCTTAACATCTTTTTAATATTACACCAGTAACCCTTATTTAAAAAATGTAAAGCTTTATTTGTGGGTCTGTGTGCTATACTAAGGAAAAGAAGAAAACATGCATAGTGGGGCAAAAACAGGATTGTGAAATATGAATAAGTTTTTTATAAAATTCATATTTTGAAAGATGACATTTGTTTGTTTTAAACACAGAGGGGAAAGATTTATAAGTGTTTATAAGGGTTCACACCACATCTTTTCCCTCCCTGGCATACTTCTTCCATGTAATGCTAACTAAATGCACATGTGTAACTATTTTAAGTGTTACAAAATTCAAGGCAGTCTTAACTCTAATCAAAAATAAGAAAGTAAGTTGTTAATCTGTGGACTTTACAGAGGAAAAAGAACTAGATTGTAAAATCATATTTCACAGAAAAATCTAAATTGACTTTTCAGGTTATGAATACTTAATTATGGTAGGAACAGTCCAGAAATAGCCCATTTTAATTCATTTGGGAAAAGGTATTTATTCACTGTGCTGAGTCTCATGCTCATGAAAGAGAACTGAAAGAGGCATAATTTTGAGCTATCAAGCTTAACGCACATCCTCCCTCCCCGTGTCATGTCAGGATTGAGCCTGCTTAATATCACACCAATGGTAAAACCCAAATAGTGGCCAAAGATATACTCTGGCATGAAGAAATAAGACCTACAAAAAGTACTGAAAGGAAATTCACATGTATACGTATTATTAAGTTAAGTATCATTAAAGACGCTTTCATTATTGGATAATTGCACGTTGAAACTCATCTTTGTTGCCTTTCAACTCAACATTTTAACATCTTAAAAATGGAAATGGTAAGAAGAAAGCAGAGTCACGATTCTGTACTCTTTGAATACTATGTGCAGAAGTGACAGTAATCTCGGAAACATTTTAATACTCATTCATTCCCTTTCAAAGCCATATTAGGAGTAAGTCTCTCTGCATCTTCACCTGAAAAGAATTGCAATGGGCAGACCCATATTTAGCAAAAATAACTCACCAGTAAAGGCGGAACACAATAGTTTCCTTCCATAGGCAGCGAGGAAGAAATGAGAAGAGCTTACCTTTATGATGGTTTGCACTGGATACAACTTTCCCCCACAAGGTTACAATAAATATTATTATTAGCAGTTTTCCTTTTGTTGCTTTCTGTAAGTATCTCTTACTCATCCTGCAAAAAATAATAATAATAATAAAAATCTTAAGTATGTGAACCCACTGTTTTTCCACTATAATCATGGCACATCTATAGCTTCCTATGACATCTTAACACCTAAATTTGCATTTCTTATATTAAAATACTGTTCACTGTACATAAATTATGAACAGAAAAAAAAAATTAAAGGTTTCCAAACAAAGTACCTTGATACAATGCAAGGGATAAGAGAGGCCCTACCTCTACCAACCTTGTTTCACTTAATGACAGCTGAAACCAACTAGAAAACATTACTATTTTTATCTCCATATAAATATAGATTCAACTTATTCAAAAAATTCAAGGCACAGCTGTTTGAATGATCTTTAAGTAAGTGATTTGTTTTACTTTTAAAAAATCCTTCTTCAAAGCCAAGTCAAATGGTCAGGGTAAACAGTTTAGATAAGATGTTTTTGATGAATTCCTGCACAGAATAAAGTCACTTCAAATCTATTATTTCTAATGCACTTTTTAAAAGTCACTTTACTGTACAACATCACTACTGCTGAAACACAGATGTCTTAATATTGTTGGAATCTACCATGCTGTACTTTAAGAGTAGAAGAAAAATGAAATAGCAGAATGAAAAATAGCAAGTTAATGTTCTCAAGTTGAGACTACAAAACAGGAAAACAGAGCAATGTTATAATAAAGTAATAGCTACCCATAACAAAAGTTTAGCACCTACTTTCTGTAGCACCAAATACAACATTATTTCAACTGTTATTTAGGACAAATTGGGGATGTTGGTATGTCTATTCCCATTTTGTAGATGATGAAGGACAGAAATTACATTAAATTTGTGTTTAATGATAGAGTAAAAACTCAAACACCAAATTGCCTTAATCTAAAATCTTTACATTAACTGTTATATTGCTAAGGGGTAAGCAAAACATAAAATATAATCCATCTGCCTTTTATTTATGAGGGAGATAAAATATCTGTCCATCACACTGTACCTCCTCAGATTCAATCCTGAATGGATTGAACCCCATTCTTGTCTGACCTGCATTCTTGTCTTAGTACCAGAGCAAGTTTGTGAGGTCGCTTCCTCACCTAGCCTGATTCCTCCTCCTGAGTTCTCCAAGTTATCTTTTTGCTCACACCTTCACTTCCAAAATATTCTGTCTCTAAAAGTATGACTCAGTGGTAGCAATGATGACTGTATAATTTTGAAGAGGAGTCACTCATACCAATAAATGGATTAAAAATAAATAGATATTTTATGTATATTTAATACAGATATATAGTTACACTTCTCAGCCTGGAGAGGTTGTTCACACTGATTCAGAAGTTGAGGGGCAGCACTATGACTAAGAACACAGACTCCAGACTTACTCCTGAGTCAGGCTGTTTGGATTGAGTCCAGGCTCTCTTGGCTTCTAATTGAGTCACTGTGTGTGAGTTTCTGGATCCCCTGCCTCGACTTTTTCTTCTGTCATATGGACTGTGTATGTGAAAAGCCTGGCCCCATGACTGGCATGTGTAAGGACTCAATGACTATGAGCCTGGAAAGTGTTCAGTCACTTGGATGTTTTGTTGTTCCTGGAGTACATGAGAGGCTCAGCCATTCATGAGATGATTGAGGGGAATTTCAATGGGCCCAACAGCTGCAAGACCTCCATGGACCTTGGGCTTGTGACGTGTTTAGATAATGTACAAAGGAATAAGTGTTTGACCTATGGATTAGATGGCTTGGTTTAAAATCTGGCTTCTCGCCTACTATCTATATGACTTTGGATAAATTACTTAACTAAGTATTTTCACAACCAAAATGAGAATAATAATATCTATCTCATAGTTGTTGGTACAAAAACTAAAGGAGTTAGTTCATGGAAAGAATTTACCACTACGCAGACAAGATAATTAACACTCAATAGGTGTTAACCATTACTATGGCCATAACTTTGTTAGACCGGCATTTCCCAAACCTGCGTGTTCTGCGAGGCATCACTTTCACAGAACATTGACACAATATTAGTGAAAAACAAAGGAGGCAGGTAGATTTACAAAGCTCTGGGTGCAACCAGATTTTTTGAAACAAGAGGCATATCTGAGTGCACAGCATTGTCTAGAAACCTTTCGTCACAGTGTAATACAGTATACTAATGTCCTCAGGAAGTAGCTTAGAGAAACAATCTGGTGTAGGGGTATTTAATTCCCATTTAAAATCTTCCATTCTATTACCTTTGTGGGTTTTTTGGCACTCTTACTGTTAGCTTTGTTATGAGCTTCTACTTTTCTCACGTTTTTACCACCATTCTGCCTCCTCTCCTACCTCCAATCCCTGAAATCACATTGCACTGCATATCCTATAAGAGAAGGAACAGTTTAGAAACTTCATCTGACAAGAAGAGCTGCTTAGCATAATTCTTGATAATAGCTTTCCTGTAACAAATGGCCCCTGCTACAAGGTCAATGGCCCATTGTATTTTCCCTATCATTGTCCACCGACCACATGGGATGACAGAACTGACAACTGGTCAAACTGATAACTAGACATATGGAAACAGAAACACCCACAAAGTCACCAGGCTGTCAAACTGAAAAAGGAAGGAGAAAGCAGGTCAACATTTGGAAGTCTGTAAAGACCCCTGCCTTTCCTCTCATGCCACCCCTACCCCGATCCAGTCAATGACCATGTTCGGTCAATTCTGCTTTCTGAATATCTCTTACTTATGCACACACCCCTGCCGCAACACTGCAGTTCAGACCACCAAAATTTCTCATGGGCAACACACAGCCTCCTAGCTGGACTTCCACCTGCCAATATTGCCGTCCTTTGGAACTGAAGGCTGGGTCTGTGTCTGCTTTTCTCGTGACCCTGTTTGTCATATTTAGTACTTAGGAGGTGCCTGGTAAACACTGCTTATTGAGTGAAATGCATTCTCTATGTGTGCTGTGCTTAGTCATTCATTTGTGTCTGACTCTTTGAGACCCCATGGACTGTAGCCCACCAGGCTCCTCTGTCCATGGGATTCTCCAGGCAAGAATACTGGAATGGATTGCCATGCCCTCCTGCAGGGGATCTTTCCAACCCAGGGATCAAAGCCAAGTCTTCTGCATTGCAGACACATTCTCTAACATCTGAGCCACCAGGGAAACCCGTATAGCACTCCCTATATTCTAGCCAAACATGTAACTATGATCATGAGACCTCCTTCATATGATTAAAACCTTCACACGATTCTCTTCTATGTTCAAGGAAAAAAAAAAAAAAAACTTGTACTGGTGTCAGAGTTGAAAACAACAACTTTACTCTTTCTGTCTCCAATCTTACACCATTCTTCCCCATCTCTCTCTCCACATGTACTCATAGTCAATATTTTAACTCTACAAAATTTCCTCCACATCTTCCAGCTAAACCTCCATGTCCCCTGAAACATGTCACCCACCTCCACTACTCTTCAAACTGCTAACTTCTATTCATTGGTCAGGGTGCAGCTTAGAATTCCTGCTATAGGATTTGGTCAAGATCATGTTAACAGCCCTACTTTATATATACCAGGCACATGTCACACTGTGATATAATTTTCTATTTGCTTATCCCCATCCCTCAGTCATACAAGATTTCTAAAGATAGGGACTGTGAACCACACATTTGAAAATACCTAAAGCCCGAGAGTCTCTTGAACTGCAAGGAGATCAAACCACTCAATCATAAAGGAAATCAACCCTGAATATTCATTGGAAGGATAGATGCTGAAGCTCCAATACTTTGGCCACCTGGTGCAAACAGCCAACTCATTAGAAAAGACCCTTATGCTGGGAAAGACTGAGGGCAGGAGGATAAGTGGGTGACAGAGTACAAAATGGTTAGATAGTATCACCAACTCAATGGATATGAATTTGAGCAAACTCTGGGACATAATGAAGGACATAGAAGGCTGGCGCACTGCAGTCCATGGGGTCACAGAGAATCAGAAATGACTTGGCAACTGAGCAATAAAAAAGAGCCTGGCCCAAGGTTCAGCACGATAACTAAAAGAGGATCTGTTGAACGCGGGTCACATCATGTTGCAGAGCCAAATATATCGTGCCATGCCAACACGAGCAGGAAACAAGTGTGTGTCAGTATTTTAGGATGAAACGAGGAAAAGACCCACAGAAAGAAGAAAGTGAGATAGGGGTAGGAGAGGGGAAGATAAGAGAAAGCGAAGAAGAAAAAGACAAGGGAGGAATCCAGTCTGGAATGTGATCTATTCTGATTTTAAAATAACAACCAAGTTTGAGCAAACTGAAATGTATGCTGATGACTGATATTCCACAAAGGGGCAACACCCAAGAAAACCCTAAAGAAAAAAGGCTGGAGGGTCTTCTTCTTCTTGACCTTGTACAAGATCAGAGAAGGTGGGGGCACTCACTTCTCATTCAAGGTGCTGAACACCAGGTCTCGGTCTAAAAACCTCCCCCACAGTCAAGGGCTGATTGCACTTCCAAAACTGTCACACTTATCTGTTGTGTTGTTTTTTTCTTTCTTTTCTTTTTTTTTTTTTAAGCAACATTTAAGTGAACTTTATAACCGCAAAAGCTGAGGGAAGAAGAAACGGGAAACTGAAGGATAAATTCACAGAGAGGATGAAAGCTTGAAATTGCTCCCCAAGCAGCAGCCGCTGGCAAGACAGGGGAAATAGGATAATTGAGAAATGCTAACCTTGGCGGTGAAGGATGCTGAAGTGAAAAGCTGTCAAAGTAGAGAACTGACAATTAAATCTCCAGACTTTCTTTTGCTCTTCTCATCTGTACTATGTTTCAGTTATATGCTTTCAGATGCAGATGTCTGAATGGTGTTAGAACCTTCTGCCTCCCCACTGATGTTAAAAGTGTATTTTAGTTATGAATAAGCAAGAAACGATTATGCTGCTAGAAAACCACTTCACCATAAAAACAGAAGGCAGGTTTAACTGATATAAAGAAGATGGAAGGGCAAAAAAGGTGGGAAAGACTTGTAAACAAGGAGATAAAAAACTGGAGCC